CTCATTGCGCCAGGCCTTCTCTGAAATTTTGTTGTAGGCCCTGCGCCAAAACTAACTGCGGCAATCTGCTAAATTTACATATTTTATTAGTGGTACAAAAAATATATACATTTTTTATTTTTTGAACAAAGTTACAATTATGGGGAGTGAGGAATCGAATATCAGCTTTTGAGCTGGAGAATGTACTTTACAAGTCGGTTTATGGTCGTTGGGTCGTAAGGTCCAGGTGTATATATATATTTTAATTAAAAAGTATACTATAATTAAAATTATATTCGATTATAATGCATTAATTATTTAATAAGAGTTAAATTTTTTAATATTAAGAGGATTTTTATATAATAACTTTTTTTTAATAATTAGATGTAATCTAAGTTATAGCACTGACTCCTTTTTCTAATTTATTGAGTCCCTCTAGGCTAGAATAATTTCCGTGGGGTTGGAGTACAACTACCTTGCCTAGGAATGCAAATGGTTCCAACATGACAGATCTGCCAATGACACCTATAATGCTGGTAAACTTTCTCGCAGTTGTGTCTGCTAAGGTAAAGCCTGAATGTGCAGGCACTAGCAGATACATACATCAGTACCGGGTTCTGGAAGCTCTACACCATTCTAGATCGTCATCATCATCATCATATATCATCTCCATAATGGCCTCTCCGGCGTTGTCAAGCCCTGAAGTTTTTCTGAAATCCCTAACTAGGCTATCCATATCAAGCATCTGCATCAATATATAGGTACTCTCTTAAGTTTCTGAGTTGTGTCCGCCAATGAAACGACTTTGGGTTCAACCTAGCATCTTGCAAATTACACCTCCTTTGGAAGATTTCTTGGCTCCTTAAACTGCAGATTCTTCACTCGAGGTTGCCTCATTGGTCAAGCTGGTTCATTCCCTACCTTTGAAGAACGTTCTCACTTCGGGTTTAGTCTTGAGGGAAGTCATGGGATGTTTTCACTTTGTATTTTTTTTTGACGTAAAAATTTCATTCCTAAGAGTTCGTGGATGGGATCCAAGAATCCAAGGGTAAGAATTAGAGCATTCCTTCCCATAGCTGTACTTCTGCATAGCTGCATTACAACAAACACTTGGCAGACTACAAAACTAATCATCTTCCTAGAGAGAGAGAAAAAAAAAAAGAACCACAAAGGAATAGAATCGAAATCTACTAACACTACCCAGAATCTAAAAACCTCAGAATTCAACACAAAGACAACAAACAAAAGAACAACTTGACTGAGAAAATGATGTGAAATGTAGCATGTATTAACGCATTCATATATAGTGTATGTTGTAGACTTCTTATGATTTGGATGAATACACATTCGGAACACATTAGTTTCAGCTTGAACTCAAACAAACAAAATAAACAGTGAACAAATTAACTTGAAAAGGATAGAAAATTTAGCATGAATGAGCTCTTTCATACAAAGTGTATGATTTAGATGTTTTAAGATTGTTGGAAATTAGATCCTATTATTTAACCATCATCTCTATTATTTAACCATTATCTCTATAATTTAGGAAGTTTTAGTTATTTATTTGTTTTAGGTTTGTTATAATTTAAATTACATTAGATAAAATTGATTAGTTGTCTTTTTAGATAATGTTATTTTGTAAAGCATGTTTAAAGGCTAGTTTGTTTTCAGTTCAATGAGAGATTTGGATTTTCATTTCGTCTTCTTCTTCTCGGGAATCCTTGATTTTTAACATTTGGTATCAAAACCTATTCCCGATAGATTCAATGGCTTCCGAAAATTATGTCCAGCCCTCAATCCTTCGTTTTGATGGTCATCACTACGACCATTGGAGTATGTTGATGGAGAATTTTCTTCGGTCCAAAAAGTACTGGACAATTGTTGAAGCTGGAGTTTCAGAACCAGCGGCAAGTGTAGATGCTGCACAGAGGGCAGAAATTGAGAAGGAAAAGTTGAAGGATCTCAAGGCTAAGAACCATTTGTTCCAAGCCATAGATTGAGCTATCTTGGAAACAATCCTTAATAAGTCTACTTCCAAGACTATTTGGGATTCCATGAAGAAGAAGTACCAGGGGAATGAAAGAGCGAAGCAGCAACAGCACCAGGCTTTGCGGGCAGAATTTGAAAGTCTACAGATGCAGATTGGTGGATCTATAAATGATTATTTTTCAAGGACGATGGCAATTGCAAACAAGATGAGGATCCATGGTGAAAATCTGGAGGATGTTGCCATAGTTGAGAAATCCTTTGGTCCATGACAACAAAATTCAATTATGTTGTTTGTTCAATTGAGGAGTCAAATGATATTGAGGCTCTTTTCCTTGATGAGTTGCAGAACTCGTTGTTAATTCATGAATGAAAGATAAATCACCAAGACAAGCAAGAGCAAGTAGTGTACATTTCATAGACACAAGCCTTGCAGACCATAATTAATTTAAGGGCTGTAGGTCAAGGAAAAGAAAACTGGAAAGGCAAACTAAGATCTGGCAGATCAAGATCTGACAAATTGTAGAAAAGTTCAACCACTGGAAATCAGAAGAGGTGGTAGAATAGAAATTATCAAGCTGCAAATAACATATCTAATTTTGTAGGTAAGGCAAATATTGAGTACTTCAGATGTCATAAGTATAGCCATTATTGTTCTGAGTGCTGTGCTAATTTGAATAAAGGAGAAAGTTAAAACTTTGCAAAACACAATGAGAAGAATGATGATTCCTCTCTAGTTATGGTCTGTCATCCTAAAGAAGTCAGCATGAAGAATGTGTGGTATCTGGATACTGGTTGCAGCAACCACATGTGTGGAGACAAATCTGCATTTTCAGATCTGGATGAGTCTTGTCAAGACAAGGTGAAATTTGGTGATTTTTCCACTATTGCAGTCAAGGGAAGGGGAAAGATAACCATTCGTGCCAAAGACAATTCAATTCAAACTATTGCTAATATTCTATATGTACTAGATTTGAAGTTGAATTTGCTTAATCTAGGATAGCTTCAAGAGAAAGGATATGAAATCTTGATTAAAGATGGAGTTTGCCAAGTTCGTGATTCAAAGCTTGGCTTGATAGCAAAGGTTAAGATGACAGGAAATAAGTTGTTTCCATTATACTTGTAGATTGTAAATCTGTTATGTTTATCTACCAGATTGAAAGACACAGCTTGGTTATGGCATTGCAGATATGGATATCTTTAGTTTGGTGGGTTGAAAGCCTTGCAGCAAAAGAAAATAGTAAATGGTCTTCCTCGTTTTGATTCTCCTTTAGAAATTTGTGAAATCTGCATGGTCAGTAAACAGTATCGTGATAGCTTTCCTAAAGACAGACCTTGGAGGGCAAAGCGGGTGCTAGATCTGGTTCATTTTGATCTCTGTGGACCCATAAATCCAACATCTAATGGAGGTAAATAATACTTTATTACCTTTGTTGATGATTACAGTCGCAAAACATGGGTGTATTTTTTGTAGACCAAGTCAAAAGCTTTAGCAGCCTTTAAAAATTTCAAAGTCTTGGTTGAGAATGAGATTGGCAGATCTGTAAAGGTTCTGTTTACAGATCGTGGTGGTGAGTTTAACTCAAAGGAATTTGTAGATTTTTGTGAGTTTGATGGTATTAAAAGACAACTCACAGCAGCATATACACCCCAGCAGAATGGTGTATGTGAGAGGAGGAATCGCACAATCATGAATATGGTGTGAAGTCTGATGTCAAAGAGTGGCTTGCCTAAGGAGTTTTGGCCAGAAGCTGTTAATTTGAGTGTTCCCATCTTGAACAGAAGTCCCACATCTCCACTTCCATATATGAGGCCAGAAGAGGCTTAGACTAGATGCAGACCTGCTGTTGACTACTTTAGAATTTTCGTGTGCATAACATAAGCACATGTGCCAGATCAGAAAAGGAGTAAGCTTGATGACAAAGGGAAAAAGTGTATTTTCCTTGATGTTAGTAATCAGTCCAAAACTTACAGATTATACAATCCTTTAACCAAGAAGGTCGTCATTAGCCATGATGTAGTGTTTGATGAAGCAAGCACTTGGTCTTGGACAGAAAAATCTGGGCAACAGATTCTTGTAGATTTTGAAAATGGAGAAGATCTGACTGTGCAAAACCCAAAAGGTTAAACATAGCAAGTTGGAGGTTTATCTGCTGACAAAGTTTCAAGATTGACAGCTGAAGAAAGTCTGCGTGCAATAGCAGAACCTAGTACTGGAAGAAGTCTGCCAACAATACCAGAATTGGAATCTGGAACTAGTTCTAGACCTCAACGCAAAAAGAGAAGACAAGCATGGTTGGAGGATTATGAGGTAACAGATCTACCTCAAGATGATGTTCTAGTCACTCATTTTGCTCTATTTGCATATTGTGATCCATTGACATATGAAGAAGTCATTAAAGAAGAAAAGTGGCAAAAAGCCATGGCAGAAGAAATTGGTTCTATTGAAAGGAACCAAACTTGGGAGTTGACAGATCTTCCGAAAAGGCACAAGACAATTGGTGTTAAGTGGATCTACAAGACAAAGCTCAAAGAAAATGGGGAGGTTGACAAATTCAAAGCTCGCTTGGTGGCAAAGGGTTACAAGCAAGAGTTTGGCATTGATTATCAAGAAGTTTTTGCTCTAGTTGTAAGGATGGACACCATCAGATTGGTGATTGCTTTGGCAGCACAGAACTTATGGTCGATCTACCAGCTTGATGTGAAATCGGCCTTCCTGCATGGAAATCTATAAGAACAGGTATTTATTGATCAACCTCCTAGTTATGTGAAATCTTATTCTGAGCATAAAGTTTATAGATTGAAGAATGCATTATATGGACTAAAACAAGCACCTAGAGCTTGGTATAGTTGAATTGATGCTTATTTCTTGAAGAGAGGTTTTCAAAAGTGCCCTTATGAGCATACACTTTACATCAAATTTGGAGATGGAGGTAAATTGATTATAGTATGCTTATATGTTGATGATTTAATTTATACTAGGAATGATTTTGGCATGTTGGAAAAGT